AATGCTGTGCTGAGTGGTTATATTACTACCTTAAAAAATAATATTTAAAAATAATAATAAAAAAATAATAGTTATATTAATACCTTATTTTTTCAGGTAGTAATATAACCACTCAGCACAGCATTTTCACATTGGTACTACCTACACTGGTACAGACAGTTTTAGACTGCTACACTATTTCTTTGAAATTTGATCCTCGATAGATCATATAAATCACGTTTTAGGGGGAGTTACTATTTTTAGACTTTTAGGGTTAGGATTAGGGTTTGGTTTAGGGAAAGGGTTAGAGTAAGGGACTTAGGGTTAACCTGAAATACAAAGAGTACAAAAGTCTAAAAATAGTAACTCCCCCTAAAACGTGACGTTACTTAATTATATCCATCTAAACATAACATCACGAATCACTTTTACAATTTCAACAAACCTAAAATTTCCAAACTTTCTCACGACATAAATAGGTGGAAACTCGGTCTTTAATTTGGTAGCACTCGGCTTTACATCAATAATGAAGCTGCGTTTGTTTTATCTTGCAGTGTTTTTCCATTTTGGGCCGCGGTAACATGGCGTTCTAGCTAAGACCCTGGAGCTAAGTATAGGACCGGCTGTGGCCGTGCGATTCCGGTGCAGAACTCTATATTAAGGCACTTTTCCATTCATCGCAAGCTCGCTGCGAGTACTTTCATCCAATCACAATGCTCGACAGTTTACTTTATTTAGATGAAAGCACTTGCAGCGGTCTTGCGAGTCGACTCTTGCAATGAGTCGAAAGAGTCTTTAAAATTTAGGTGCTGTTACACTAAGCAACTTGTCTCGCAATGTTAGGAAAAACGATTTCAGGATTGCATTTCAAGGGATGTTACACCAAGCAATATGTTCCATGCAACTTGCAATGATCATTATAACTAAAAATAGTATAAACACCGCGAGTGCCAACTTTGACGCCAAATTAACAATCAAAAGCCATTCAGTGTATAATTGCGAAACTGGTTGCAAGAGGGATGTTACACTGTACAATGCTCTAAAAATGCATATTGCAACGTTGCCGCGGTCGTTGCGAAAAGTAGATCCTGATTCTACTTGTGCAATGGTTGTTGCAACAAAAATGTTGCGAGGTATGTTACACTAATTTGCAATTTTGCGTGTAACTTGTGTCGCAACAAGATAAGTTGCGAGACAAGTTGCGTAGTGCCTGACAGCGCGTTAATCTTTTCCATGGGCGTACTTGCGATGAGAACCTCTCAAAATTATTATACATGCAGTTAGCTACCCGTTTTAGATGCACCTGCCGTTTGAGAAATATAATTAGTAAACAACTCAATTAATTAATTAAAATACAATTATCAATGCTTTAAAATTGACGCCAGCAATGTAAGCAAAACTTCAATAGTGGCGAGCTAGCCATGGCAATTGGTCATGCTATGCTAATAAACCCGTATCTGTATATAGATTAAAGAAAATACATTATATAATAACTAAAGTGAAACACGCAATTTGATTGGTCAATAGCCGTGCAGGATCAGGCTATCCTGCACAAGGAATTAAAATGCCTTCGCGGGATTTCCAAAATGTCATTGTTTCACTGTAGTTATTTTATAAAAAAATACCAAATGGTTTTCCAAGCAGGATAGCGTGATCCATGCACTTGGGATCACGCAATCCTGCACGGAAAACCATTCGGTATTCCTTTATTTCAAAAGGTTTGAATAATGCAAATCATTAAAAATTCGCGTATAGCATGACCTGTTGCTATATGGCTATAGCTTCGCCACTGAAACTCACTGAACTTCAGACATCATTTTGCCTTTCAATTGGCGAACCATCTAAAATCTCTTTCATTTAAGCACAATTTTACATACTATTTTACATAAAAAGCTACGTTCACACTACACCGTTAGAGTCATGCGGACATGTTAGAGGAAAACACACTCCAAACACAATAGCGTCTAATATATTATTTTGTTAGCGTTCCTGCAAAATGGCCGCCATGACGTCAAGTGAAAACCAAAAATTGCTGTGTTCCAGAGTTTACACAACTAATTGTTAGCAAGCCTGAAAATAAGCGGCCGGACACTGACCGACATGAAAAGGGCAAATGTCTGGCAAAATGCTTTTCTCACCGGACAGTATGTCTGGCAATATGTCCGACACTAATGGGTACCTGACGAAGTGTCAGGCACCCATGAAAAAATTATTTCCAGGCTTCATTGTCAGTAGCCATAAGAAATTCAACCCAAGAGATGAATTTTGAAACTATGGTATGTCTAAGGGGTCATCAGACCTATGATCAAACCTATGATACTGAACACAACTGATTCAGGATTTCAATGCTCCATTGGGCGAACCAATGGTTTATATGACCAATAGACTATAGTGTAAAAATCTGGATCGCAGCAATTGCACTTTTGGGACACGCTGTGTTCTATGAATACGAGTTATTTAAACACCAAAGATAAAGTATAAACAGTGTTTGGCAAATTTGTCTATTCTCTATAGACCCATTGCACATGACGTCACAGCGCCGGTGACGATGCATCTGGAGGACAAATTAGCAATCTATGCATAATATAACTTTTGTGAACAAAGCAAATTTTGTAAAACTTTATAATAATTGTGTATTAAAATTGTTAATTTTTGCGCTGTATGTGGTTGTTGTACCCGAACAGATATTGTTAAGGAGCATCTGGAGAACACTCTAAGGATTTGTGACGTCAGTGCAATGGGTCTATATAGGGGCCAGTTGTTCGAAGACATATAAGCTTTTAACCCTTCACTAGGAGTTTTCTTCTCTGGTCTTTTGATTTGTGTATTTCTACAAGTTTGTACATTTCAAAACATCAGAAAATAAACCTTCTAATGACCCAGAAAAAATCTTAAAATGGAAAAATATTTCGAAGTTGGTCTGGAAGCTCGGCAAACTTCAAAGCCACAAGTTTGATGTTGAACTTTTGTTTGACCATTCACAAATCCTTTGTTTCAACTTCACTAAGTATTATTCATCGTGATTGCTCATCTCAGCTATCGCTATATTGGATGATTACTTTTATTTATACGAAAATACAATGCGCTCAATTACCGTGTTAACCTCAATTACCTCAATTAACTCAGACAAAAACATAACACGATGACTTCGGTCCAGTTTCCAGACAATCATACCTTGATAAACTATATGATCTGTAACGAAGTTTGGTTTGGCGTTTGTCACTATAACCCAGGATTAAGCAGCTAATCCTGCTTTCAACAACCGGTCCAAGGGGTTTAGTTTTAGTTCTATCAATACATTAGATCGATAAGAGCGCGTAAACGACAGTCACATAACTGTACGGGAGTCTTTTTCCAGCTCGCCTAGTAGGCTTCGTGTTATACAGTATTACATGTGGTATTTCTGCGAGCGTGGGACAACCGCTGGCAACCCAGGATACCGACATGTATATTCACATTAAAGTACACGAAGAGTCTCTGTCATGTGTCTTCCGGTAGGCATTCAGTTCTGTCAGATAACAGGGTGGAGGCCATCTCTGTTGTTCAATTACAATAAGATTGTCCGTTGATAAGCAGTCCAGTTCCTTTTTCTTTTTGAATTCTTCAAAATTGATGGCAATATAATACAGATACTTGGAGGCCAGTTGATGAGCGTTGTGAGTCTAAAATAAAAAAATAAAAGGCATTTATATTACACAATATTTTTTCTTTACCTTTACGAGCCTTGAAAACAGTATGGCGCTGTCGTCGCAGAAGATGGCTACACCTTTTGTGTCTCTCTGCAATGAGCGACTCAAAAGAAAAATATGAGCGGGCGCAACCTTTTTAAAACGCTTTTCATTGGTTGGTTAAAAAACGTGTCAACCATCAATCTTGATTGACCACACCTCCCAATTTTCGGCAACCGTTGCATGTACAGTCGAACCTTGTCAACGGACACCTCTCTTAAAATTAAGGCACATTTACACTTGCAATTTTTGCTGCGATTTCTTGTGTGAGATTTTCTCCTGATGCATGTGAACGAGTAGATGAGTTATACCCACATCTGAACATTCGTAACTTGTCCACTCGTTCATATCCATCAAAAGAAGAAAATCGCTGACGTAATGTTCGGTCAAATTTTCCATCAATTTTATGCACTTTTGAAGAACATTTGAAAAAAGGAAAATTCAGGATTCAAGGAACATAAAACACTTTTTCCAGGTCTGGAGTGCCTATTGATACTAACACAACTGATTTAGCATTTCAATGGTTCATTGGGCGATTTTACTTTAAATGACCAATAGACTAGGTCTGGTGTGCGAGGCACTTAAGTGTTCACAGTTTTCTATTGCCATAAGTTATAATTTATATTTAGTCTGCCAAAACTAGCACGTTTTCTCTGGTAGCCACGTTTCCTCTAGAGTAAAGGCCCGGTCACACTACACAACGATAACGATACGATAAATTGTAAACACGCGATAATTGGCAAAACAATTGTGTTAGTGTCCACACAACAACGAAAATGATAAAATTATCGTTAGACGATTACGATTTTAAAATCGCTCACCTGAGCGATTTTTTTTTCAGTCGGACGATAACGATAAATTTTTGACCAATCAGCGCGCGTATACAAGTTATCGTATCGTTATCGTTGTGTAGTGTGACCTGGGCTTAAGACTGGATCAAAAATAGATGGACCTTAGAACGTTTAGACAAAACTGATATAGCTACTGTAGCTATCCAGCAGGCCTACAAAACCACATAATAAGCTTTCGTTGGTAGGGTTACAACTACCTGAAAAATACAAAGCGAAATTTCGCTTTGTATTTTTCAGGTACTGTAGTTGCATTCCTGCCAACGAAAGCTTATTATTATTAACACTACCTACACTGGCACAGACCGCTCTAAAAAATATATTTTTCTTCCCGCCAGCAAAATCCAAAAACAAACGTTTTCTGTGTAAATCTCAAACTCATTAACAATTCATGAGTAAATTAGCCAACCATATTGCTTTATTTTGCTCACATGATAATACTGGGTACCTGATGAAGTATATTAGAGACCTTACGATTTTAGAACGGCAACCGCGACGGCGACGGCCAAAACAAACTCCTTCAAATAAATGGTAGTGGATAGTTCGTCGTATATTATCAATCGTATGAATTTGATACAGTCTTAGAAGTTGAAGACATGGGTTTTATGGTTGGGAAGAGTTCTGCTAAACCCCGTTTGAAGTTGCACTTGTTGTGGCTTGGAATGCAGCCGTTGTATCAACACGTGAAAATCTGTGATTTGGCGTTGTAAACAGAGCGAGGACAATGTCTAAATTATTCATTTATTGTAATTACTCAATTCTTCTCAATGATCTATTGTATTGGTAGCCGTTGCCGTCGCGGTTGCCGTCCTAAAATCGTAAGGTCTCTATTGATCCAGTCCTAGGACTGGATCAAAATTAATTCAGTCCTTGGACTGGATCAAAATTAATTAAGTAGTAAGTTATTCTTCGTATGAGACGCCATTTCAAATCCTCCAATTCGGTCTAGACTAGATTTTAAGTCCTCGCATTTTGATACAGTCCTCGGCTTCGCTTCGGACGTGATCAAATTGCGCGAACTTGAAATCTAGCCCAGTCCTCTATAGATCAACTTCATTCTCGGCACAAGACAATCTCGGTTTGAAAAACGCCTTTGCCTAAAGCTTTGGAATTTTCAAACAATATATTAAGTATAAATTATATATTGCATTCCAAACAAGACAAAAATTTCATGCAAGGTGTAAGAAAATTTCCTGCGAAGATATCAGCGGTGCTGCCGGACATTTTCCCGCACTGCTATCCAGCATAAATAAAGCTAGATGTAAAATATGCATTAATGTGTACCTGTGCGGTGATAATAAGTTGTATGAGATCTCCCAATCTGTCACTTTTCTTCTTGCTATTCGCGAGAGATGATTCCATTTTCTTCTCCAGACAAACCTCACACAAAGTAACGAGGCGAGGAGAACAAAACCGATTGGCAACCTTAAGAACCTCGATAGGATCGTGGTGCTCAAAATTCACATTATCCGTGTAAAGATATTGCAGGAAGCCAAGAAAGCCATCCAGTGAGACGGACGGTAACGGAATCTAATTTAAGTAGAACAAAGTTTAGTGGATTAAAGGAATGTGACGGGTGCCGACTCGTCTCTTAAAGCCTGATCAAATGAGAACACAAGTCGTTGCAAGTAAACTTGCACTTGCATGCTTGTCATGACTTGCGATGCGACTGGTCAAACGATACGCAAGTTATCGCAGCGATTTGCAAGGCGTGTGCATGCGGGTAATTCTGTAATTTTGAAATGTCGCAAAAATGCAAACAAAAGAGGGCCGCCATTTAAATATGTAAAAAACTATTAAAAAAGCTGTCTGAAAGAAAGCAAAAAGCTGCCAGCATCGTGTTGTTTTCTGTACTTGGTGAAGACGAAACGTCTCGGGCTTGGAAACGTGGAAAAACTAGAGAATGGATTAAGTGAAGACAAGAAAAAACCCCAGAAAAGGACATCTTAATTTAATAACATCGTGAGAAACCCGTGTACACAGGACTAGGAACTGATCCGGCGTATTTTTTGTTTTCATGGAAACTGATCCCATGGTCAAAATGGAACTTGGTGGTCAAACGAGGCACACATGCAGAAAGCGCAAGTTAAAACTTGCAATGACTTGCGTTCCCGTTTGATCAGGCCTTTAACTTAGGTTCAAAACTTTCCAACTCATAGCCTTCAGTCTGGGCGAAAAAATATTTTAATTTAGAAAACACTTGCCTATATTAAATGCTACCTTCAAAAAAAAACTTCGACGTAAGCTCTTCTAACTCATAACTAATAATGTTCAAGTAGTTGTATCTCTGTTACACTGCAGCCGTTCATTATCGTGGCTGCCTAACTGGCACCGCCGTTCAAAATGAGATGATATGATGAATTTTTACTGTTGCACTTTGGTATCACAACGATACCAAATCTCGAACGGTCTGTGCCAGCATAGACAGTGATGAGAACAAACACAAATCTTTATAGGAAATACAACTACCTGAATAATATAAATAGATTGAACTTGGACGTTTCGAACGAAGGCCTTTAGTATATACCGTGGATCGAGCTCGATACATTATCTACCATCACTCAGGCCTCGAATTTAGCGGCGGCCACGGCGGCCACTGGCCGTCGAAGCCCTGCTTGTTGGCCGCTATGCCCTTGAAATATACTGAAATCCACGGCCAGTAGTGGCCTGCCCTCAACCACAGAGTACAGTATATAGACTACCAAGTGTATGATTTGTAAAATTGGCAATAATCACTTATAGTTTAATTTTATTAGTTATAGTTTAAGTCAAGAGGCAACTTTTTTCAATGTCACGTATTTGCGATACAAAGTGTTCAAAACGAAATTCATCTTTTTGGCGTTCCTCTCAAAATTACTTTGTTTTAGCTTTATTCTCTAGTTTATAGAGTTAGCAACCTTTTTAAATGCATCTGCCGGTTGAGAAACATATAATAATAGTTAAAAATTGCCAATTAAAATACAATTATCAATGATGCTTTAAAATTGACACCATATTTACAGCCATATGAGCAAAACTTGCTGAATTTCAGATATCATTTTCTCTTCGGCGTATCATCTAAAATCTCTTCATTTTAGCATTATTTTACAGATAAAGCACTAAAACGTACTTTTTAAGTTTGTTTGCCGCTTGAAAAACGTATAGAAAAATAAAAATTTTAAATTTAGTCATAAAATTTTAACCTTAAGTGGTATATTATACGCACTAGTTTTGAGTGAGTATTATAATTTAACATACAAAAAAACTCCTCTTAATAGGTAGTTACGATGCATGTAACTATGATATGAATAGTTTCATTTGGCATTTTTTTAACAGTATTGTTGCTGTTTTGTATATTTTTGTTTTCTCATGGAAGCTCAAACGTTATTTGAAACTTCAAAATAGCAACTGAATAAAATTTTCAAACTGGCCTTGATACCCTGTATACTGGCCTTGATGCTCTGAAAAACTTAGTAACATTTAAGGCCAAACTGGCCTTGCCTCTATTTTTCCCAAATTGGAGGCCTGCATCACAACGATAGAGTGAATATATCATTTACAAATCGGATAATCTGAAGTTCCTGTTTTTCTTTAATTGAACTCATTTATAATATGTTATTTTTCGGTGGGATTGGACCCAGAAATGCTCTTGTAAGACATTATATACACCAGTTAAACTTTTTGTATTCCAGGGTAATGAAACATGATACGAGACGTGAAACAGCTTCACGATCCGTCAAGTCAAGTACATGTACGTACAGTACAGATCGTGAACAAAAGTTCACGATCTGTATATCAACTCGTTAGCGCAATAGCTAATACACTGTACATTTCAAGAAGTTGAATCAACTTCAAAACTGCTATATTCTGTCTGACTCGTTCCCAGTCACTCGCGTTGGATGATGGGAATAGCTGTCAACGCCTAACCCGCGAACGGGCATATTCTCCCGTACTAAAATATATTAACGAGGGGCTGTGGAAGAGTCAGATATTCTGTCACCAAAATAATAAGAATGACAGAATAACACTTTTGGAGTTGATTGAACTCCTCGCAATTTACAGTGTAGCAGGTTTTGCACGAGAGCTTTTTCAACACTCATGCCTCCAAGAGTTAATGAGAGTTGGCTACTACCGATCAAACGAGCAAAAACTCTCATCAAAATTTGAACAAGCTCAAAGTTGCATGGACCTCGATCAAATGACAATGAGAGTTGTTATATAGCTAGTGTGAACACCAAACGTGATTGGCTGATTTGTAGTCACGTGGCTTTAGATAAATGCAATGTATCCCGCCAGGGCAATAAGTGAAAAATTGTTGCCCGCCCCGACCGGCTACGTACATAAATAAACAAAATGACGGCACAAATTTATACTATTTAAACTACTGTTTTCGTGGCTTTGTGTTAAAATAAAGAATGTAAAAGAGAAGAAAAATACATAACAGGCAACAGGATATGCTGCTGAAACCATTTAAGTAGGTTTTTTAACTCGTTTACGGTATAGAGTTTTTGTCATGAAATACAAATATTGTTGTATGAATGTTGTTCAATGTTGATATTTGTTTCGTCGCTATATAACAAAACACTTAACGTCTTTTCCCTCGGGAAATAGTTAGTTTTGTTTTCCCTCGAATCTCAATGTGATTCAACATTGAGATTCTCGGGAAAACAAAAATCAAGAAAATCATAGTCTTGTAGAGCCAGAGAAGTAAAATCGTCTGGCTAAAATGAAACATAGTACTACAGTGTGGTGCTCTGGAGCATGCGCAAAGCAAGACAGTGTACCACAAGAAGAAATACTGTTTTTGAATCATGTGATTCAAACAACAGATTAATAAACTTATGCAGGAATATAAGTGATGCCAAATTCGTTTCGGCACCGCAATCAGGTTAGCTGGCAAATATGCATCTGTTAATATACTGTATTTCATTTGAAAAACTTATAAAGCTCTTATTAATTCAAGTTCTAAACATACCTCTTGTTGCCCACTTTCCTGGAAATTGCCACTCAACATGGCGGCCATGAAATCACAATGTGCAATGAGAACGCACAGATGAGCACGAACAAGTTGTTCCTCGACACGAAACGAAACGTCGGAGAAACGAGAGGTATTGCAGAACAATGCGTCGTCAAACGAAACGAACTCGGCCTTCCATTGTTCAAATAAATCTTTTTCGGACATTTCCTGCTCGCTCTTTAAAAACTCTGTTAAAATTTCCACTTCAAATGTCTGTGCTACATCAAGTATAGCCATCGTGTGTTTCTCTTCGGTTTCTGTCGAGAGATTGAGCTTTCCTGTGTACATAAAATTGAGCACCTCAATCAAAGCCGCTTTAGATATATCTTCACTCAATGTTAAGAATATCCGTTGCGACTCTTCAAAGTACACGCAATCATACGGTATGTCCCGGTCGCTAGACACCAGGACGAACCCTGCAACGCGACCATTGTTAATATCCTTACTGGTTAGTTTGCCGCCAATTTTAGCATCAGGGTTAGCTGCGTTCAGGTTCGATAGAGCTGTGTTACTGAGGAATATACGGCGATATAAGGAAGAAGTACAACACAAAACCAGGCGATGAGCCTCCACTGTGGTCTTATCGGGAAAGATGAATGTGACATCAGTACCAGGGTTAGTGTCGCCAAGTAAATTTCCCATGTTGCTGGAAAATAACGATGGCTCTAAAGCTACCACAGGAAGCGGACCTACACGAAAACGGGAAAAAAGTAGTAACGTTGGAAAATCAAATGAACGTTGGAAAATCAAAATTGACCGTTATGATTAACTGTACGATTACTGTAAAAGCAAGTTATAAAAGAATGAACACCCAATACTGCATGTCCTTACGATGTACGATTACTGTAAAAGCAAGTTATAAAATAATTAACTCCCAATACTGTATGTGGACAAGTATGGATTTAGACAGTAGTGAAATGGCTAACGATGTTTCCATTATCATGATACTTGTTGTGTTGGTGTAGTGTACTCAGGTGAACAAGATGCTTGTGATGTTACTCAATGTTACTGTGAGTGTATATCCACACCGGACAGGCTTGAAAAATATGCCTGGCCACGGTGGGAATCGAACCTACGACCTTTGGAATACTAGCCCAATGCTCTGCCAACTGAGCTACGCGGTCAGGTCGGTTCGAGTATGCGATATTTCGGAACAGAATCTAGTTCCTTCGATATCAGTGTAATCTAATAATCATGATACTTGTTGTGTTGGTGCAATGTACTAAGGTGAATAAGATGCTTGTGATGTTACTCTGAGTGTGAATCCACACCAGGCAGGCTTGAACAATATGCCTGGCAACGGTGGGAATCGAACCTACGACCTTTGGAATACTAGCCCAATGCTCTGCCAACTGAGCTACGCGGTCAGGTCGGTTCGAGTATGTGATATTTCGGAACTGAGTCTAGTTCCTTAATTGTTAATTGTAACTGAAGTGCTTTGGGGTCGCCACCTACCTATATAAACGGGCTTTGGGACTGGTTGATGATAACAATAAAAGACAATGAACTATAGAAATCTCTCCAAAGAATGAGTCACGGACAAAATGACTTGAGGCTTGACTTGCTACTCGGAGTAATTGACTAGGACTTGCAAGAAATGATTTGTGACTTGACTTGGCCTTGCAATACAGTATATAGTAAGACTTATTAACAGTTCTGGTTATATATCTGCATGAGGTTTGGAAAACAAGTCTCGAACGACAAGGAGGTTTTGCATTACGTTACATTATAACTGACTCTAATACAAGATACAGAGATAAGATTCTAACTGTCTCTGCTTGCCAGCAGACACAAGGCAGACGCATGGTGCCAACCGAACGAACGTTTTCGGACAGTTGCACTCACAGACAGTGTGTAACGCATTCTGGACACAACCTACGATAAGCACACATAAGTTAGATTATACTTTCCAGTGTTTCAAGTTTACCGAAATTCGACTTTTTGATAAAAATTCATGCTTTACGTTCTTTATATATAAGATACGTAGATATTTTATACTCCAAGATAACTAGAAGATGATCTTTATCCGTAGAGCCGGATCGTTACACGGCCTTTTTAAGGATACAAGGCAGATTATCAATAGATCATTTTGCACAATAACTCCAAAACTAATTAATATAAAATTAAAAGCCCAAACACACGATTTTAACCTCCTTGGAGATTTTTACAAAAAATAAAACATATATAAGGGAATAAAGGGCAGCAACCCAGTTCTTATCGCTTCCTTTAGGAGGGATTAATTAACGAGGGGTGTTTCAAACGTCGCGCTTTTCATGTGCCGAACGCATTAGCAACAATAGATAATGAGGCATTTCAGCTGATTATCTATTATTTTTAATGCGTTCGGCACATGAGAAGCTTGACGGTTGAAACATTATCCCATACCTGTGTTAAAAGCGGCTTTCTGATTGGTTTAGAGCAGGTGAGTTTGTCGTCGAGCTCACCTGCCTTTTGCCCGAACTCACCTGCTTTTCGCCGAACTCACCCGCGAAACTACTCACGTTGCAACTTGCAATAACAATAACAAATATGGCGGACAAGATTTAGCCGATAAACCTAGGCTTTATAGAACTTTTTTCGGTGACTAACTTGCTGAGACTGAAGAAAAACCAAAGAAAAATGCAGTAAAGGTAATCTAGACGTAGATAAAGAATTATTTTCTTGCCCAGTGATTTTTTTGGCCGGGAAAATGTTGACAAAACATCGACAAATATATCTCGAAGAGCTACAAATGTATATGTATGGCTCGGTGTATGGGATAAAAACCAAACGTACTTGCAGGTTCGGTGAGTCCGGGATTGGACGCACCTCGGGTGGCTGGAAGTTTCCCGAACTCACCTCGCTTCGTTCGGTAAGTTCGGGAAACTTCCAGCCACCCTCGGTGCGTCCAATCCCGGACTCACCTCCCTGCAAGTACGTTTGTTATAAAACATAATACAGTACATAATAAGGTCGCGTGAACGAACTCTCATGCACTCTCACTCACAGGTATAAGGCAATTCCAGCTTTTAGTTTATGCCTGCAGGGGATGATGGGAAGTAAGGTATCATATCGACAATTATGCTGAAAAATGTCAATAAAAACTACCGAAACAACCGAAATATTTCAATATTTACAAGTACAAGTTATCACTCCGTGTTTACACGGCCACCATTTTTATTTTTTCAGCATAATCAGCAATATGATACCTTACTTCCCATCGTCCCCTGCACGCATAAACTAAAAGCTGGAATTGCCAATTTTCCTGTGGGCATTTGACCGTAATTCTTCAATGGCGTATTGTTTTGAAAACGTCACGTATATTTACTATTGCAAAGCTTTCGATCCCTAAACTCGGGTCTTCATCGGAGCAAATACTGTATTGGTTTGAAAAAGTCATCTATGTTATATGATTAACATTTTCAACCAATCACGTACTATTTAACAATTAGTCGCCAAAGGCGAGGACGGGCTGATTACAAGCATATATTCACCGAGCCGAATGTGTTAGTATAATTTCAGTATTGAAAAAGTTCCATTTATAAATACAACTAATACACGTGTTCATTTTATGAATATAATTTGCATAAATAATTTACTTCCGTCCGATTTTTAGCCATTTTTTTGGAAAAGCAATAGTAGCTGCTCAGAGCAGTCTGAGCAGTAACTGTTGCCTCAGAGTTACTGCTGAGAGATCCAATCAGAATGCTCAAAGTCCAGTTTTCAATACTGAAATTATACTAAATTGCCAACTACATCTGAACTCAAACTTGGACTAATTGTAACATATTATAGAACAAGATAGCATTGGTATAGCTGCAGTTTATGCTACGCCTTTTGGTATAAAACAGAACACAATGTCCTGGACTTGCAAATAATTTGTAGTCGTTTGGCCTTTGAAAGGCGAAAATTACCACTGATCCACAACGACAAGGTTGCGTTAGAGATATATTAAATGTTAATTGTAATGTCCAATCATGGTTATAAACTAATATACTATATTGTTGTAGATGATTTAGACAATGAATGTGAGCTGCTGTTTACTGGCCTTTACTGTAAGTTGCAGATGATTTGAATAATGAATGTAAGCTGTTTACTGCAGTTGTAGATGATTTATATAACGAATGTTTTCAATATAGTTTTAATTAAAGTATTTTCTTGACAAAAAATTGCGGAATTGATTTGGAAAACGTAAATATGGACTACATGTAGCTACAGTTATCTTTGATTGTCAACGACATTATAGCTTATCATTTACATGCGACATTTTAACACGAAATTACATATAAATATTGCGGCAATAAATGTTTTAGTACAAAAGGAAGTCAACAGAGAATATAGCATTAATGACCTTCTAAATTAAAATTGAATATACGAAAAATAATAATGGACATTGCTTTCATTATGAAGTCACAAAATCTAAAATCTAAACTGCAAAAGCTACAGAATCGGTTGTCTCCAATCTTCGTTAACTAATATTAATGGTTCTAGGTTAAATAATCCAACATTTGAGTTTAATAAAATAGACTTTATTCAATCATGTGCAGGGCCGTAGCTAGACACGATAATTGGGGGTGCATATTCATATATTCATGTTCACATACCATAAAAACAATCGATTTCAAAAGAAATCCGTCGGGCAGAACACGAATATATGAATATACCCCCCCCAATTAGCGTTCTAGCTACGGCCCTGGTCACTTGGCACTATTTGGCAAATTTTTACGAGGGGGAAATCACTCGTAAGATCAAAAAATTGTTTGATATTTTTTCATATTTTTTACGTGATTTTTTTTTTTCGTTTATTCTGAAGTTTGTCCCTGGGAGTTTTAGTTTCAAATTCATGAATTCTCGGTTTGCACAATGATATGAAGATGATATTTTAAAAGGGCTTTTCTTAGCTTCCTCCATAGGAGGTGCGAATGAAATATTTTTTCTTTCCCACAATAACTTTGAAAAATGGTACGTCTTTTTTCTAATATTCCGTTATTTTGTGAAAGTTATTTTTGACTGCCTAGTTATTGTTTGTTTCGACTGCCAAGAAATTTATCTGACAGCCATTCGGCAAAGAATATTCCCAGTGTTTAAAACTCACTGTCACTTAAAAATAGGTCGTGAAATTGCAGGCCGCTAGTTTTTTGACCCACAAAACAGCTTTTCACATGACAATTTGTCATTTGCAGACCGTTAAATTCGCGCAACGTTACTAGGCACCTTATATTATTGGGAGTCACTGTGTTAAAACTTACTGTGTCGGACTTAAAACTTTTAACTTTGACACATGCAGTTACCCCTGTTGAGATGCCTGTGGGATTTCGTGTTTTTCTCAAAGGACAAAGATGATGAAATGTAGATTGCCCCTTTCCATTTTGAAGTCCTGTAGTAAACCTGATTTTTGCTGCTGTTTTATTATGATAGTAAGTCATCATACTGTAGATTGCAAATATTTTGGATTTAACCCATTGAGCGCCAGCACTATCCCCTTGACGAGTAACATTGTTAGGCATTGCACATAATTAATAAATGATGATACAACTCAATGGGTTAACATACAGAATAGTTATTATATGTAAATAATATATAGTTCACATATTGTCAGGATTTTCAAAACCATTGCATTAATTCCTTCCTTCCTGGTTTTGTTCCAAATTGAAGGACTTTATTAAATAGGTTAACTTTAAAGATCTGTAGATACCTTCTGGATATTCTATTGTCTGCATCCACAAAGAATGCCCATTACGATAGATGATCTCTTCAAACCCAATGCTATAAAAGATGTGTAGGTATAAAATGAACCTACTTCGTTTTTGATGCATGGATTGTCATATTACTTATCTTGAGACCAAGGTCTAGGTACTCTTTTGTTTTCCCAATCACCAATGTCAATATTTTGAACTTCCTAATATACAAAAATCAATGATTTAGGGTAATAAGAAATATTAATAAATCAGTGCATTTATACCCTAGCCAGCCAGAGACTCGCGATACACACATCCACTACAATTAACATATAAGCCAGGATTAATAAAACAAGAGGACTCAAAGTGAAACCCGGCCCAAAGCACACAATTATAGGCAGCAAAGTTATAGTTAACCGCAACACTGCAGAATCACAAATAGTCACTACAACAGCAACTTCAATCAGAGTTCAATATAATCTTCAAAATTTAGTCTATTAAACCATTCAG